CGGAAGGCGTCGGGGAGCTGGCGTTCATCGACCCCGAGGTGGCGAAGAAAGCCTGCGAAGAGGTCCTGGAGAAGGTCAAGCTGATGCACGGCGTCCCCTCCGACAGCTCAGCAAAACCAGCCGATGGCAGCGATGCAGAGCGTGCCCCACGGACCGCGGTGGATTTGGCCAACGGAGACATCGGGGAGGGCTGTGAGATCAAGTGCTTGGACGATCCGCCCGGCACAGCCTCCAGGATCCAGGAGGAGGACGAGACCATGGCCAACACGGTGAAAACCGCCCGGAAGCGGCAGAAGAACAACTCTGCTAAGCAGTCCTGGCTCCTCCGGCTCTTTGAATCCAAACTCTTTGACATCTCCATGGCCATTTCATACTTGTACAATTCAAAGGAACCTGGTGTGCAGGCTTACATTGGGAATAGGTTGTTCTGCTTTAGGAACGAAGAGGTGGACTTCTACCTGCCACAGCTGCTGAACATGTACATTCACATGGACGAGGACGTGGGAGATGCGATCAAGCCCTACATCGTGCACCGCTGCCGGCAGAGCATCAACTTCTCCCTGCAGTGTGCCCTGCTGCTGGGCGCCTACTCCTCGGACATGCACATCTCCACTCAGCGACACTCCCGCGGGACCAAGCTGCGGAAACTCATCCTCTCGGACGAGTTGAAGCCAGCTCACAAGAAGAGGGAGCTGCCGTCGCTGAGCCCAGCGCCCGATACGGGGCTGTCTCCTTCCAAAAGGACTCACCAGAGGTCCAAGTCGGACGCCACCGTCACCATCAGCCTGAGCAGCAATCTGAAGCGCACAGCCAGCAATCCCAAAGTGGAGAGCGAGGAGGAGGTAACGCTGGGGCTCTCCGAGGCCCCCGGGGCCGTGCTATGCGGTTGGGTCCCATCTCATAGCTCCTCCTTTACCGCAGAGTTTTTTTATCCTAATTGCTGCAAATGGTTGAAGTTTTGATTCCTGTGTCTGTAAGCAACGGACACACCGGTGGGTCACACTCGAGGGTGCCGGGGCTCAGGGGGCCTCGTGGTGTGAGGGAGGACCTTAGATGGCTTCGGGGTAAGGCAGAAGACTGGGTCAGGACCGAGTCATCTCCTGTGCTGCTGGATTCCCGCACGATTCGGGCACCTCGGCCGGTGTCTCTGTTTTGCAATCTGCAGCCAGCTGATGGCTGTTGGAAATCTGATTTCCTCCTTGTCCCAGCTTGTTCAGATTTAGCAACGATAAGGTTTGTCTGCAGGCAGAAAGGCCCTGGGCAGCCGGGAGCAGGAGCCAGGGGGGGAAACCCCTCC